GGATCCTGGAGATGAGATCTTCCTACACACTTACCCACAATTTAGCATACCAGTAGACTTACAGAAGCTATAACACTAACATTGCTTTGTGTACGTAGAACCAGAGAGTCTGGTTCAGTGACTGCTGGCTGCATGTCGGTATGGTTAAGATGGAAGAGTGTAATATTTCTTGAATCTATTGCCAAAGTTTCATCATACAGATTAGGTTTCTCTTCTAAAAACACCTCACAGAAAACCTTATCTTCAGAAAGTTAATTCAAAATGAGAGGAAAGTGTGTATCATCCTCATTGTAATGCGTCTTGTTACAAAAGAAGTTTTGTCTTTGAGAAAATCTGTCATTGAGTATTGTTTTTCACATGATAGAGTGGTTCCAGAGTCCTTTGCTACATGGTGCTGTGGGATTAAAGTTGGCCTGATAGGCGGCTAGTGGATTATATAAAACTTGCCCATAATATTATTGCAATGAGAGTTTGACATTTAGGAAATTGACACATTCATATCAATCAGGCCAGAAAGTTGAAACAAGATCCACTGTCTACAAAACAAATTAAGCACTGTCAGTCTAAATCATGACTGAAGTGTTCAATACCATCTTCACTTCTTCAGCTATTCTTATGACTGATGGTTCACAGAGTTGTGATGGTGATTTGGCCAATAGTTCTCTCTTGACCTGGCTAGGTCGTAAAGGGAATTATAGGGATATGGATAGGTCCATGATAACAGAAAGATTGGCATGGAGAAAACCTGTGTGTATCAATGTGATCAAAGACGCAGCCTTAGGGTGTTAAAGACCACTTTTGGGATGACTGATGATCGAAACTTTGTCCAGTCTGTCTAAGTTTCCATCACTGGTAGAATTATGGCCACCATTCTTCATTGATCTGATCGGAACTGCTTGATTTGTCTCAACTGGGATTCTAATATCGCCTTGAGTGAGGTGTGTGTTTGAAGGAAACAAATTAAGTTTTGCCAGCACCTTCTCCCAGTTCCATTCATTAAAGAACGTTTTGACAAACTGCCAATGTGGATGAAGGCCCTGTCCTGTGGGCAAGTTGTGCTGCCGGCAGTGGGGGAGATACAATAACGATCACAACAAGTAGAATTCAATTACTGGGAGTGCTGTATGAGAAGACAGGGACTTTCTCAACACCTTTGAGTTAGGAAGCACTCTGCCCTTTACTTGGGCATGCAGTAGCCATGGATACCTAGTCTGGAAATAGTTGGGGTCATACATGTCACTGCCACAAAGTCAAATGCCCTCTAACTTCTTATTGTCATTTTTAAAAGCATTGTTTTGCTCACTCCTGTCTCTTGTGTAACGCAAGTTCTGTTAAAGTTTCCTTAAATATTCATTTTTTTCACCTTTGTTTACCTGTTCAGTGGAATGTGTGGACTGATGAAACAAATCTTAGCATTTCCCTGGTTAGGTTTTGAGTGACCTTCATTCAAGGTGACTCAAGGTCATCTATTGATTTGTCTGTTTGAGCACCTTGCATTTTCTTGGTTTATTTATAACGACTGTAAGCAGTGCTAAGGTGATTGAAGGTGCATCATAGAAGAAAGGAGATGACTATTATGCCATACCTGTATCATGCCATACCTGTATCATGTCATACCTGTATCATGCCATACCTGTATCATGTCATACCTGTATCATGTCATACCTGCATCATGCCATACCTGCATCATGCCATACCTGCATCATGACATACCTGCATCATGACATACCTGTATCATGTCATACCTGGACACGGGATCAGCTGGTCAGGCTCACTGACTTGGTTGACACATAATGTCATCATATCCCAATGGTGTAGATGCTCATGCTGTTGATCACTGGGTTATCTGGTCCCGACTCGATTTTTCCATATAGCTGAATTGTTAAACTAACAAACCTGGACAATTTCATCCATTTGCAGTATGTTCAGGCTGCAATTATGACGTATTGTTCAGGCATTGGAATGTCATAGGCATGTTCCTGAAACTCAGGCACCTAAATGAACTGTAGATATAAACTCATGTTTGTATCATGGTGAACATGTTAGAGGTTAAGATTATGTTCATGCTTGTTTTAGTATTGTATTAGTAACTTGCCATCATGGGAAACGTGATGTACTTGTATGAGTGACGTATCAGTTCTTGTCTTAGACTGATCGTTTAGATTAGGGAATGTAAAATAGGTCCTGAGACTGTGTGCTGACATCACAAACCTTCTTAATCTTTATGTTTGAAATACTAGTATAAGTCATGTTTTCATTTTCTGTTGAAAAAAACAAAGAATTAGAAAACCCAATATTGTTTAGTGATATGTAAGGTAAAACGGCACTGCTGATTTGCAGGGAAAGTCTGAAATCTTTGTACAACATAGAAGAAATGAAATGTTTTATTCACCGAACATTTTGACTGAGGTATCACAGTTGGCAACCAACAAGTTAGCAGAATAAAACAGTTTGGACTCTGTGGAATGGTTTTATATAAGCTATTCAGAGTTAAGAGCAGGATGAGGTTGCTGGTTTAGGATGGTTGACAAATGCCTTCCTCCCTGATGACCAGGAGTGGTTCACTACATGGGTGGATGTGTGAGACTCCATCTCGGTGTTCCCTGGGTGACCTGTAGCTGGTGTGTCAAGTTACGATCAATAATCTGGATGCAGATGAGGCATAAAGGAGATCAGCGACTATCGTGAAGTTTCAAATGTACAACACTTAGTGCTTGCTGCATTATATTGTTCTGTACCAGCAGAGATTGTTTGAATCATCATAATGTTTACACTATCACAGTATTCTCTGGCTTCTGTAAATGTTTAGCTTTATGAAACCAGGGCAACAGATGATTTCTTTCTTAGAACACTGTTGGGGATATTGATTAAATGGATTATTCATGTAAATGTAAGAAGTTAAAAGTTGCTTCTTCATCAGAACAAATCCAACCCAGCAGATAGGAAATGTCTTGTGCTTGTGAAGCATTCTGTAATGATGGTGTGGTCTTTGTCACGTTTGTAGTGAGGATGTTGCTGGTGCAGGATGCACAAAACTGAATTATTATTGTGAACACATTAAAAAAATTTGTTTAGGTGAATTGGGCCATAATTACCCATTGTGATGGAATGAAATGAGGAGGGAATGTGGTTTGATACAATAGAGTGAGTGAGTGTGGTTTGATACAATAGGGTGAGTGAGTGTGGTTTGATACAATAGAGTGAGTGAGTGTGATTTGATACAATAGAGTGAGTGAGTGTGATTTTATACAATAGAGTGAGTGAGTGTGGTTTGATACAATAGAGTGAGTGAGTGTGGTTTGATACAATAGAACATCACGTGTGAGTGAGTGTGATTTGATACAATAGAGTGAGTGAGTGTGGTTTGATACAATAGAGTGAGATACAATGAGGTGAGTGTGATTTGATACAATAGAGTGAGTGAGTGTGGAGTTTGATACAATAGAGTGAGTGAGTGTGGTTTGATACAATAGAGTGAGTGAGTGTGATTTGATACAATAGGAGTGAGTGATGACAATAGAGTTGAGTGCGTGTGAGTGTGGTTTGATACAATAGAGTGAGTGAGAGTGTGATTTAGATAGTGAATAGAGTGAGTGATACAATAGAGGAGTGAGTGTGTGGATACAATAGAGTGATACAATAGAGTGAGTGAGTGTGGTTTGATACAATAGAGTGAGTGAGTGTGATTTGATACAATAGAGTGAGTGAATGTGGTTTTTGATACAATAGAGTGAGTGAGTGTGATTTGATACAATAGAGTGAGTGAGTGTGGTTTGATACAATAGAGTGAGTGAATGTGGTTTGATACAATAGAGTGAGTGAGTGTGATTTGATACAATAGAGTGAGTGAGTGTGGTTTGATACAATAGAGTGAGTGAGTGTGATTTGATACAATAGAGTGAGTGAGTGTGATTTGATACAATAGAGTGAGTGAGTGTGATTTGATACAATAGAGTGAGTGAGTGTGATTTGATACAATAGAGTGAGTGAGTGTGGTTTGATACAATAGAGTGAGTGAGTGTGATTTGATACAATAGAGTGAGTGAGTGTGGTTTGATACAATAGAGTGAGTGAGTGTGGTTTGATACAATAGAGTGAGTGAGTGTGATTTGATACAATAGAGTGAGTGAGTGTGGTTTGATACAATAGAGTGAGTGAGTGTGGTTTGATACAATAGAGTGAGTGAGTGTGAGTGTGGATTTGATACAATAGAGTGAGTGAGTGTGGTTTGATACAATAGAGTGAGTGAGTGTGATTTGATACAATAGAGTGAGTGAGTGTGGTTTGATACAATAGAGTGAGTGAGTGTGGTTTGATACAATAGAGTGAGTGAGTGTGGTTTGATACAATAGAGTGAGTGAGTGTGATTTGATACAATAGAGTGAGTGAGTGTGGTTTGATACAATAGAGTGAGTGAGTGTGGTTTGATACAATAGAGTGAGTGAGTGTGGTTTTAGGCAGCTTTTGACAATATTTCAGCAATATCATGGACACCAGAAATGCTTCACACATAATACCTATGTTGGGAATCAAACCCGTGTCTTCCACATGACGAGCTAATGCTTTACCCTCTAAGCTACCCCACAGCCCCTGATGCAGTAGAAGTAGTAGTCTGTAGAGAACTTTGTATCATGTAGTCAGTTGTAACACAGGAGTCACTCGTATTAGTGATGACCCTGATAGCATTGTGACCACCCAATCCTCATGTTGGTCCAATTTTTGTTTGTGTAGGCTGAAGGCAGATGGAAAGCATTGCAAGAAGTCAAATATGAGACAACTACATGCACTCAGTTTCCCCTTTGTCTTGAACTACACTGTCATGTAATGTGGTTGTATGAGAACAGAAATCAGGGGCGGATGCAGAGGTGGGGTGCGCACCTCCCTCATGACGTCATGATTTATGTGCAACCCCACTTCTCCAAAATCCTGGATCCGCCCTGGAAATACATAAAGGTTTATTGCCTACATAAAGAAATACACTTGTGTGTTTTATATTGCAGGTGTTGCAAGATGCGCAGATTATGCTGCAGCGGATGGAGCACCGAGGTGGGTGCAGTTGTGACAACGATACCGGTGACGGAGCAGGGGTGCTGACAGGGATCCCACACAAGCTGTATGCCCGTGTCCTCAGGTGAGACACACGTTTGTACATGGGTGCTCGATAACTGAAGGATACTCTCCGGAGACATTTATAACTGGTTTATGTAGGCAGTGATTTGTAGCAGAGGTAAGAGGCGACTAACGGGATCGGGTGGTCAGTTTCGCTGACTTGGTTGACACATGTCATCGGTTCCCAATTGCGCAGATCGATGCTCATGCTGTTAATCACTGGATTGTCTGGTCCAGACTCGATTATTTACAGACCGCCGCCATATAGCTGGGATATTGCGGAGTGCGGCGTAAAACTAAACTCACTCACTCAGTGTAGCAGAGTGTTCTAGAAGCGGATAAGTGACAGAGATAATGCTAGTCATAACTCATAGTGCCCTTAATGGATTTAGATTACTTTTTCTCTAAGATGAATAAAATTCCATATCATCACTTGGTTGAAAAAATGGGTTAAATGGTTGGTTGGCCATAAAAGAGTAGTGCAGAAAAGAGTGCAGATGTTAATTATATATTTTAAGGTTTGCTTTTGGAATTCTGGATGGTCCTGTTAACTGTGTTGATGCAGTTTGCTCATGTGTGAAATGCTGCTGGTTGACGTTTTCATCTCCCAGTTTGTGATGTTTTTTAAAAGTTGGACTTTCAGAACAGTGTCAGCAGGTTTTATGAAATGGTTGACAGTTATCACAGTCGGTCTGCTTTCCCACATTGTCACATGCTGTGACAAAATGAAACTATGGTTAACAAACTTGCGTTAATACCAATTCCTGCGCTTTATGTCAATGCACTGCAAATTATTGAAGGTGTAGATCTTATTATCATGGCCTGTGTGAACCTGACATTGACTGAAGTTGGCTGCTAGATTGATATATATGCAGCTTAACAGTCACATGATGTCAGTGTTGAATGACTTTATTCAGTAGGGCTAGAACTCACTATTGGTCTCATGTTAGTCTCCCTGTACAACCTTTTCTCGAAGGTTTGGGAGCTCAGGGGGTGTCTGGAACAAGAAACCTCCTTACTCTGTTGCATCAACACAAAGTCATTGGTGTGATGAGAAACACGTAAATGAAAAGGCACCTTCATGCATGGCCACATGTTTTTTCCATCTGTATGTAGATAGTATTAAAGGCCTCTGTACCCTTTTCTTCCCAAGTGTGTATACAGCAACACACACCTACATTCCTACATACCCATTTGCCAGCACTCATCCTAAGCCACGTACATGCAGCTATGGTCTATCTGACAGAGCCGCATCAAACATAGCTCAAAACTCAGGAGCAAATCTACACTTCTTTGGCCTGTCTAGAGTCCTTCCAAAAAAGGCAATGTGAATTCTGAAGGCTCTTTATGTTCCAGTAACTTCAGTTGTAATGAACTCAAGGCAGTACTAATTTTAGTCTGTTGTTACCTTGGTCCATTATATGCATCAAGAATAAATATATAGCTAGTGTCTGGGACGGATAAAACAGTTTATTATTAGTGTGTCCATTATACATGTAGTTACTGTATATACTTCCAACAACTGAAGGGCAGTGGGGTAGCCTAGTGGTTAAAGCGTTGGCTCATCACGCCGAAGACCCAGGTTCGAATCCCCACATGGGTACAATGTGTGAAGCCCATTTCTGGTGTCCCCCTGCCGTGATGTTGCTGGAATATTGCTAAAAGCGGCGTAAAACCAAACTCAGTCAGTCAGTCAGTCAAACAACTGAAAACCAAAATGTTAATGTATTTACATTGAGAGACTGCGTTAGTCTGACATGCCGGTACTCATCACCATTATCGCCCGACGATCGGTAGGTTGGCTGTAATTCACCAACAACATCCTCATACATGTGTTACGCAGTCATTTGTCACTGTAAACATAATCACTATTGTTTTAGATGGCTTGGTAGCTAATGTGTCATCATATGGATGCAAGCAATTACTTGCTACTATGGAACCCGAGCTAATGCTTCTACCTGGTGTGATGCTATGGCAAGGAAGGATTGATTATAGCATTACTACATCTTCCCAGCTATCAGTGGTGTCAAATGAGTGGGCAGACACACGCAGATGATGTTCCTCGGGGATTTACTGGCAGGGGCTGCTTGAAGAAGAGCTGGGGAAGAGTCTGTCACATGCTTTGAGGCGTCTCGATACCATGATGCTAAATAGATCGGTGTGGGTGTGTGTGGGTGTCAGGTTTTCAAAGTGCTCACTATAGATCTAGTACACACCATTCAAACATAAATATTCACTCACTGAAGTATTTGTTTAGTTCGTATTAGGATTAAAACTTGAAAATTTTATTTTTTTATTTATAATGTCATTTCCTAAAAATTTAGATGACCTTAATATCATAATAAACAGCGAGGTGCCATAGTTGATGTTCCTTGATCTTCCCTCTTGAATGAATCAACTTAATTCTTGCAAATCCTCTGTTATAAATACTGTAGTTTGGTGATCTTCACATACAAATTAATCTTCAGAATTTTCAACTGAAGTCCTCTTCACCGCCACACAGCAAGTTGTCAAGAGAATATTACTGCCCATCAGCCTCCCCCGCAGCTTGCAAAGGTGTGAAAAACCTCACCTCTTTCCTGTGTGTGCTCGAGTCAGTTTGGTTAAGTAGTCCTGCCAAGACTCATGCCAGGTGATAGCCAGCATCAGTGTTTTCCATCAATACAGAATTTCAATGGCTCAAATATATACGTTCCATTTGCCTGCGGTTGATGAGGTTGTATCCAGCTTTGAAAAGTGGAAAATGTAATGGCAATAAATTTTTATGCTCTAGCAGTGAAGAAAGCAATAAAAAATTGCACTTCATCACATCATAATGTTAGTAAACAAGCAGGTTAAGTTTGTCACGCATAATTTCCATGGGTCATGTGTTCTGTCGTAATCTTTTGTAAGACCTGAAGTATTGTGTAAGGGTAGATTAGCTTACTGTCTGAATATACAATGTATTTTATGTTGATAGAAACAAATAATTTTATTTAAATTGAAAAGAAACCCCCATTTAGCTGGGAGTATCAGAACCTGAGGAAGTTAGACTTTCTTCATTAAGGCTTTAGCTTTGCAGAAAGGGCTGGGCAGAAGGGAAAATAAGGGGGTTCTTGGACTGTGAGTCAGCCAACTGTGAGTGTTTTTTATACTGTTATATAAGGCAGTGGTTTAGATGGTAACTCTTTGTACTAGAAACAATCTGAGTTTGGTCAGGACTTATCAGATCCTCAGTTCTGGTATTTGTCTCTGCAGTTGTCTCCCTAATGGAGTCTGTTGTCATGGTGGCATGTGATGTCATGCGATGTCATGCAGTATATTGGGATGTGTCATCACATTGCCGGGTACCATCAGTCTGTCAACAACTGGGAGAGTTCACGGACATTGATCATACTATGGAAGATTACAGTCAACACCATGTCTGTCCACAGTGTTTCATGTCCCCATATTCATATGTTTCATGTATATATCCCACAAAATGCCACAGATTTATCACCCAGTGTGGGGCGGTGGGGTAGCCTAGTGGTTAAAGCGTTGGCTCGTCACGCCGAAGACCCGGGTTCGAATCCCCACATGGGTACAATGTGTGAAGCCCATTTCTGGTGTCCCCCGCCGTGATGTTGCTGGAATATTGCTAAAAGCGGCGTAAAACTAAACTCAGTCAGTCAGTATCACCCAGTGTGATCAGCTAGCAAACATGTTCCACATGTCAGTGTGAAGTGTTCTCACAGAAGGGATTATAGGCATGTATTCAGTGGGAGATCAATGCCTGTGACAATGGGCTGTAGTTTGTACCCTGCCAGTCCACCAGGTGTTCAGGCTGTGTCCTGTACACAAGAGGAAATACTTGCACACTGATATGTTCTTGCTGCTGAGTTTCAAGGAAACACACTTGTAAACTTTAATTTGTCATACAGACCCTGAAACAAATATACCCAGTGCAGCCCATGAAAGCCTGGATTGTATGGCCAGTCTAGATTACCACAGTTCTCAAAATGAAGGATGTCTTTGGGCTCCTTTTATTATGTTTTCTGAATATATCTTAGAAACTGTTTTTACTGTAAAATATGTTCAGTGACTAGATGTTAATCTAGCCTCTGTGCTGATGGCTGTGAACTGATCATATGTCCCGTTAAACTACACAAAAACATCACCTTGTTCTAAAAAGCATTAAAGAATAATTGTATCTCATACTTAGAATATGCCATATGAACGCTGACAGGCTGACTCCTAGGTGTTCTGTGTTTGCAGATGTCTACCTAGCCTAACAGATACTTCATGTATTTCTAATTTATAAAGAAACTGGGCCCCTAGTGCCCCAGGTCAAACTGCTCTCGGCAGGGTTCTGTAATGAATCATGCAGTGTGAGAAGGGGTCCCCAGTGACTGCAGCTCCTCAGGCTGCCTCCCACTGCAATACTGAGTTACAAAAACCTGCAGGACTGGTGAAGAATTACCTGTAGTGGGACAAAGTTCAGGTGACACAAATGTAACAGCCTATGCCATGTTGGGGCTGCAGAACAAGGGGTGACAGAGGCTGTGTGATGTCAGTAACACCGGTGTAGTGCTGTACAGTCGGGTGTGGTGCCGTACATCGGAGTCAGGTGTAGTGCCGTACATCGGGGTCGGGTGCAGTGCGGTACATTGGTGTCGGGTGCAGTGCGGTACATTGGGGTCGGGTGCAGTGCGGTACATCGGGGTAGGGTGTGGTGCCTTACATCGGAATCGGGTGCAGTGCCGTACATCGGGGTCGGGTGCAGTGCCGTACATCGGGGTCGGGTGCAGTGCCGTACATCGTGTCGGGTGCAGTGCCGTACATCGGGTCGGGTGCAGTGCCGTTACATCGGTCGGGTGCAGTGCCGCATCGGGTCGGGTGCAGTGCCGTACATCGGGTCGGATGCAGTGCCGTACATCGTGTCGGGTGTAGTGCCGTACATCGGGTCGGGTGCAGTGCCGTGCATACATCGGGTCGGGTGCAGTGCCGTGCCGTGCCGTACATCGGGTACATCGGGTGCAGTGCCGTACATCGGGTCAGTGCAGTGCGATACATCGGGTCGGGTACATCGGGTCGGGGGGTAGTGCCGTACACATCGGGTCGGGGTGCAGTCGCGTACATCGGGTCGGGTGCAGTCGCGGTACATCGGAGTCGGGTGCAGTCGCGGTACATCGGGTCGGGTGCAGTGCCATACATCGGGTCTGGTGCAGTGCAGTACATCGGGTCGGGTGCAGTGCGCATACATCGAGTCGGGGGTAGTGCGGTACATCGGAGTCAGGGGTAGTGCGGTACATCGGGGTCGGGTGCAGTGCCGTACATCGGTGTCGGGTGTAGTGCAGTATTCTGGCAGAAGACATCATTTGCATTTGCGTATTTGAGGAAATCACTACCTCGCTTATCTTGTCATTGTCAGTGTCTTTTGTCAATGAATGGATTTTTTGAAGATTCAAAAGATGATTCATATTGATAATGGAAAATCAAGGTTAACTGGTTGCAGTGTTGCTGCAATATGACAGCTGGGGAACACCAGGCAGCTTCATACACTGGGGATTCCACAGGTTACCAGTTAAGACTCCAGCATCCATTACCATCAGTGAGATGCAATGAAAATGTCACATACATTTACTGTGGCTCACTTATTTATGTGATGAGCTGTCAAAGGTTTGATCATTCATCTCCTTATTCATAGTATTGCTTCAGATAGCCCTCCTCGGTAACCCGTGTAAATATTCTGTTCAAATTAAGTGGCATGTTTGATCAGAATTTAGACTTCTTGTGTCCTCAAAATACCACTCGTGTTTATCAGGACGGAAAATTTGCCCTAGAAAATGCTACAGAGCCTGCATGTATGTAAGCCCCCTGTTGATGATGTGTTAACACTACTGCCCTCTGTTAATGCATGCACAGTTGTGGCATTAACAACCTCCCATGTAAACACCACTGTAATGGATATGATTGAGAGCTGTTGTACATTGTTCCTTTCTGGAAACATCATATCTGATATGTGAAGGTGAATGTTCAGCTCAGAACCAACACCAGATCTACCTGCAGGGACACCGTCATGGGAAGATCTGCTCTGAAACTGATAATGTTGATCTCGTAAAGTATATTACATAAAGCATACCTGTCAACTCTCACGCTTTATTCACAAATGTCACGCTCTCACGCCTCCAAATAATAATCCCATGCATATCTGGTAGCCAAAAATAATTTCAAAATTAATACGCATTTTCGTTCGTTTTTTAGCGTTAAGTTGAACATTTTTGAACATGTTTATGCGAATGATTCGGCTTATTATTATTTATTAGCATGCATCTTTTAGTGTCAAAATATTGCCACCAGAAGGCTCCAAATGATCCTGAAAATCACTAAACTTCATTTTCGGGCAGGGGGCTTCGCCCCAGAGACCCCCCACCAGGGCGTTGCCCTTGACATGACCCCGGCTGGACCCCGGCTTATTTTTTTCAGTCTCACTCCAAACCATCTTTAGGGGTTGACAGCTCTGCATAAAGCCATTATGGTATATATATATAATGAATGGCTGTATACCTGGTAAATATGGCTGTTATGCTGCAGATGTGTATTGCTGAATTCATACTTGGATAAGCAGTGACTCACATGATATGACGATTGATAGAGTTAGTTTAAACATATATAATTTTGGAAACCTGGGTTGGTAAACAAGCATGTTATGCTTATATAAATACTGCCCCAGCATAACAATTACAAAATCATGATGGTTACAAATAAAAGAAAATAGTTGACAACACTTGAACTACTCTTGAAGAGTTGTCTCCCTTCAGCTGGCTGCTCATGTAGGTTCAAAGAATCTTTTCATCAAAGCATGGTTTCCAGATAGAATAACGCTAAGTCTCTGAAAACATAATTTTGATAGAAACATTTCTGATAGTTTCATTTATATTGAAAAGGAGCCCCAATGAGATGGGCAAGCCAGAGCCTGAGCCTGAGGATATCCAGACTTGCTTAATTTAGGCTTTAACTATTCAGGAAATATTCAGGACTACATTTCTTTTATATTCAATATATTCACAAGTATAAAACTGAAATTCCTTTTGATAAAATGTGTAACTTGTTAATGTTTAGTGTCATGCAATGTTGGCAAGTCAGAACTGTGCTGAAGATAGTCTCTCATGACTATGGGCATTGAAGGCCATTCACTATCCTGATGAGACAGTGAACAATTTAGTGATGCATTACCATACTCACAGCATCTAGTAAAGCTTGGAGACAGAATGTCAACCTGTCACATGGCATGAATGGGTAACACAAATATATCCGAAGACAAGTTTGTGCAAACTTTGGGGCACTTTTGACAGGACAGAGCAGAACACACATTACCACCTTGACTGTGGTCAGAAATGGTGAAACGTATCTTGTACATGTGTTGTGTGAAGATATACAGCATGCAGGAACCAGGAAAAACAGCAGACTACAGGAAAACATAGACGTAATAACATCATATATACATTACTCAAAACATCGTACACTGTAGGTTGATGATACAAATGTCATGCACTCAGGAAAAGAAATACATATAAAGCAGAAACTTTTAATTGCAAATAATAGGTTTCATATGTGAGTCCGGGAGTTGCTGCTGATTGTGTAAGACTTGGTAAGTGCAGGCTGCAGTGAGACAGTTGGACTGTGACTAACTGCTTCATAAACAACTCACAATGTAAAACAGATCAACTGCAAGAATAAATTGTGATATGATTATATGATTAGTAAATTGTCTTTGTGTATGTAGTGCTTTATGTTTTAATTGTTCCTGCAGTCAAGGAATATATTGTCAGATAATGCGGTGCGCACTAATGATGTATACAGTTCGACATTTCCTGGAAGGATCCTATACTGTAATGTGCCTGACTTCGGGAAGTCGACATACTGGCTGTCTGCAGTTACACTTTGAGTGTCCACCATTGCTGCTCCTCCCTGTGTGGATTAAGTCAGCCAGCTGCCATGAGTGTCCACCATTGCTGTTTCTGCTCCTCCCTGTGTGGATTAAGTCAGCCAGCTGCCATGAGTGTCCACCATTGCTGTTTCTGCTCCTCCCTGTGTGGATTAAGTCAGCCAGCTGCCATGAGTTGTCCTCCATTGCTGCCAGCTCTGCTCACCATCCCTGTGTGGATTAAGTCAGCCAGCTGCCATGAGTGTCCTGTGTGGTCCGACCTTGCTGCTTCTGCTTCCCTGTGTGGATTAAGTCAGCCAGCTGCCATGAGTGTCCACCATTGCTGTTTCTGCTCCTCCCTGTGTGGATTAAGTCAGCCAGCTGCCATGAGTGTCCACCATTGCTGTTTCTGCTTCCCTGTGTGGATTAAGTCAGCCAGCTGCCATGAGTGTCCACCATTGCTGTTTCTGCCTTCCCTGTGTGGATTAAGTCAGCCAGCTGCCATGAGTGTCCACCATTGCTGTTTCTGCTCCCCTGTGTGGATTAAGTCAGCCAGCTGCCATGAGTGTCCACCATTGCTGTTCTGCTCCTCCCTGTGTGGATTAAGTCAGCCAGCTGCCATGAGTGTCCACCATTGCTGTTTCTGCTTGCCTGTGTGGATTAAGTCAGCCAGCTGCCATGAGTGTCCGACCTTGCTGTTTCTGCTTCCCCTGTGTGGATTAAGTCAGCCAGCTGCCATGAGTGTCCGACCTTGCTGTTTCTGCCTCCCTTGTGTGGATTAAGTCAGCCAGCTGCCATGAGTGTCCACCATTGCTGTTTCTGCTTGTGTGGATTAAGTCAGCCAGCTGCCATGAGTGTCCACCATTGCTGTTTCTGCTTCCCTGTGTGGATTAAGTCAGCCAGCTGCCATGAGTGTCCACCATTGCTGTTTCTGCTTCCCTGTGTGGATTAAGTCAGCCAGCTGCCATGAGTGTCCACCATTGCTGTTTCTGCTTGCCTGTGTTAAGTCAGCCAGCTGCCATGAGTTACCTTGCTGCCAGCTGCAGCCATGAGTGTCCACCATTGCTGTTTCTGCTTCCCTGTGTGGATTAAGTCAGCCAGCTGCCATGAGTGTCCACCATTGCTGTTTCTGCTCCTCCCTGTGTGGATTAAGTCAGCCAGCTGCCATGAGTGTCCACCATTGCTGTTTCTGCTTCTCCCTGTGTGGATTAAGTCAGCCAGCTGCCATGAGTGTCCACCATTGCTGCTTCTGCTGCTCCTCCCTGTGTGGATTAAGTCAGCCAGCTGCCAGAGTGTCTGCTGCATTAAGTCAGCCAGCTGCCATGAGTGTCCACCATTGCTGTTTCTGCTCCTCCCTGTGTGGATTAAGTCAGCCAGCTGCCATGAGTGTCCACCATTGCTGCTTCTGCTCCTCCCTGTGTGGATTAAGTCAGCCAGCTGCCATGAGTGTCCACCATTGCTGTTTCTGCTTCCTGTGTGGATTAAGTCAGCCAGCTGCCATGAGTGTCCACCATTGCTGTTTCTGCCTCCTGTGTGGATTAAAGTCAGCCAGCTGCCATGAGTGTCCACCATTGCTGTTTCTGCCTCCCTGTGTGGATTAAGTCAGCCAGCTGCCATGGGAGTAACCCTTGCTGCGTTCTGCTCGCTGAAGTGTTGGGTTCGATTCAGCTGCATGGGCACCAATGTGTTTCCCATTTCTGGTGTCTTAAGTCCCAGCCGTGATATTGCTGGATTAAGTCAGCCAGCTGCCATGTGTGGACTAAACCTCAGTTTCAGCTTGTCCTTGTGAGGATTAAGTCAGCCAGCTGCCATGAGTGTCCGACCTTGCTGTTTCTGCCTCCCCCTGTGGATTGAGTCCGTCTCTCAGCTAGGGGAAACTATCTCTCACCCAGCCATGTCATCTGTCCTCACCTCTATACACAGGCTGCAAGGGCAATATTTCATTGTCACAACAATCAATAATAATTAGGAAGAGATTACCTAAAGAGGAGGGTTGTGAGGAGGGGGTACTTCAACAAGGCTTCAAGTGATATTGCCCCACGGCTCACAACTTGGTCTTCGTCTTGATTTGACTTAATGACCACTCGAACGTCAAACTGAAATATATAGCAGTGGATTGCATGATATCTGACCTAGGCGGCAAGCAGGATAATGTCAACTAAACAGTTATGTCACTGTTATATTCTGTATATAATTTTTAGCATTACCAGTTTGACCCACCTCCCAGTGTGGTCTGACACAGACTCTGAAACTAATATGTCCAATGCAGCCCATGCGCCGCCCCCAGTATTTAGCAGTCTAGATTACCGAAGTAACAGGCTGAAATGAAGAAAGTTTTGTGGTTCCTTTTTTTATAAAATAATTTAACAACCATTTTTTACTGTAAGATATTGTAAGCCTGTAAATTTTAGGTTTGGTTTTGTGGTGCTACAGGCTGGATCTGTGAGCTCACAGATCCCTATTCCCAGCTGTTTGTTTCTGCTGTCCTTGCATCATCTAGACACCCACACCTCATACACTTCAACCTGCGTGGTACACACGGTATCGACCACCTCATCTCAGTGGCGGAATCCATAACACAGTCTCATCCAACCCGTTTCATCAGCGGCCATTTACAAACTATTGTGAGCCTTGTAATTAGATTATGTGATCACCTGGTTCCTGTCAAACTCACCACAATCTAATCAGCAGTTCCCTTGATAATGAATGGAACAGAAATACAGGATGGTAAAGTGACATCTTTCTCCAACAATTTGCTATTCTTATAGATGTGTGGCCTGTCATTGTCCTGACTCTGAACCTGGCAGATACACCCATGTCTCTACTGTTGCTTAGTGACCCTTCATGTCATCTACAGTACCAACTGAAATTTCTTCAATTTCATTTGCATATAGATTCAAAGGTTTCTTTGTCTTGTAGTTGGAAAGATATTTAAGATATGTTTGTGAGTGAGTGAGTTTAGTTTTACGCCGAACTCAGCAGTATTCCAGCTATATGGTGGCGATCTGTAAATAATCAAGTCTAGACTAGACAGTCCAGTGATCAACATCCTGAGCATCGATCTACGCAATTGGGATACGATGGCATGTGTCTACCAAGTCAGCGAGCCTGACCACCCGATCCCGTTTGTCACCTCTTACGACAAGCATGGGTTGCTGAATATCATTTCTAACCCGGATCTCCATGGATATAAAATATGTATGTAGGGATAGGGCTGCTTTGCATTCACAATGTGATGCCTGAAACATCTAGCTTGTCATACAGGAGGACATGAAGTTCATCATGGGAAATGAATAGAACTGAAATCACCTGTTGCAGTAGATCCTAGTTCATTCATGAAAGTCTGTCATGAGAGTTGGTATACAGAGAAAATGGTATCTTACACAGCCTCTACTCCTGTCATCTTTGTAATTGTATTTGGGCACAGCACACAGTGAACATTCATCATAAGATGACAGTCAAACTGAACTAGAATGAGGATTGGGTGGTTCCAGGCAATGCTTATCCTTAGATGGCTGTTGGAAACATCACGGACACAGATCCATTATAATTTGTTTCTGATGATGACAAGCGGCCATGATGATGGTATCAGGAGCACACAGTGAGATAATGTACACATGTGATTCTCGGGACTGCCAGTGATATGCTACAGTCCCAGACTACCAGTTGTGACAGATGTCGTAATGACATGATATGGTGGATATAGTACCCCCACTACTACACAACAACTGTTCCCCACCTTATGTGTTAAAACATTACACCATGGAGAGTTTAGATACACCTAAACGTCTGAGAACTTCTCCACAGCAGACTTTCTTCCTATTAAACCAAACTCTGGTTTCTTTGTAGAAAACAACCTTAGCATTAACTCTGTTAAAAGTCTATACTAAGGTACTAGAGTAGGAGGCACCTTAGTACTAAGTTCACTTAACAACCTCGGCATTAACTCTGTTAAAAGTCTATACTAAGGTACTAGAGTAGGAGGCACCTTAGTACTAAGTTCAGTTAACAACCTCAGCATTAACTCTGTTAAAAGTCTATACTAAGGTACCAGAGTAGGAGGCACCTTCAGCATTAACTAAGTTCTAAGGTACTTAACACCTTAGTACTAAGTTCACTTAACAACCTCAGCGCATTAACTCTGTTAAAAGTCTATACTAAGGTACCAGAGTAGGAGGCACCTTAGTACTAAGTTCATTTAACAACCTCGGCATTAACTCTGTTAAAAGTCTACACTAAGGTACTAGAGTAGGAGGCACCTTAGTACTAAGTTCACTTAACAACCTCAGCATTAACTCTGTTAAAAAGTCTATACTAAGGTACTAGAGTAGGAGGCACCTTGAGTACTAAGTTCACTTAACAACCTCGGCATTAACTCTGTTAAAAGTCTATACTAAGGTACTAGAGTAGGAGGCACCTTAGTACTAAGTTCATTTAACAACCTCGGCATTAACTCTGTTAAAAGTCTATACTAAGGTACTAGAGTAGGAGGCACCTTAGTACTAAGTTCACTTAACAACCTCAGCATTAACTCTGTTAAAAGTCTATACTAAGGTACT